GTTTATACCCACTGGGCAGGGGAGAGGGTCTGCAGAAAGGCAGGGAAGGGTTTACAGAGGTGGAAGGCAGCAGAAAATATACGGTGGCTGGGAGGAGCCATTCTACCTATCAGGAGAGTTGGTTTGGTTCAGGAAGGGTGTGCACATGAGGTTCTCCCTGCCCCAAGGCCTGACACCTTGTTCTAAGCACCTTTCCAAGCAGGCACTGGGCTTGCCCCATTGACCTCTCACTCAGAGCCATCTCCAGGAGGAAGCTGAAGCCCAGAAGGGAGAGATTTATCAAAATCTCCACGTCTGTGGCTGGTCTCAACAATGGCATCCTTTCTCTATAGAGGGAGGCCCCGAGTTCTTTTGAGCATAGGAAAACAACAAAAGAAAAGTCCAAACACAACAACGACAAAAAACCAGCCCATCCGGAGTCCAGGGCTATCTGGGAAGAAACAAAGGGAATGGGAAGGCGAATGCTGGAAAGGGGATGGTGCCCTAGCTGGGCTGTGGGGCCGGGTGCCTCCACCTGAGCCTCAGGGACCCAGAACGTCCAACCCAGTGGACCTTTCAAGAAATGGCTGGGCCATTGTGCAGAAGAATGCCCGGAAATCCCGCGGCTCCCTCCTCCAGCGAGGATGGGGCTCTTCCTCCTGGCCAGGAAACTCCAAGTTGGCTTCCGGAGGGTGGCCTGGGGGCTGGGGTGGCAAAGCATCACAACTGCTTGCTGGACGGCAAGGCACAGCCTCTTTATGTCCCTTTGTGTCTCTGCTGTGCTGGGACCATAGTCTATGTGCTGGAGGAGACTGGGGACTGAGTGATACCTGACACCCTGGACCTCAGGGTATGGAGGCAGGGAGCATCACAGAAGAGACAGCACAGGCCTTTGCACCGCCCACTTTGTACCAGGCTCTAGGTTCTAGGGAAGAAGTGAGTGTAGGCAGGCGGTGGTTGGGCAGATTCTCTGATGAAGTTATAATCAAGGGCATGGCCAACACAGGCTTGCCGAGCATCTCAGCTTGGTGTGCTGAGGGACAAGCAGTGTGGAGGTTTGTTTCACCTCTGCCCAGGGGCTCCGGGAACCTCCATGCCAAGCCTTTGCATGGAGGGGTTGGAATGATCTGGGATGTAGCGAGTGGAATTGGTCGGTTAGGCATGCAGCTAAAATGGAGAGACAGGGCACGCAGATCGCCTGTGAACGCTCCAAGGTCAGCCTGGAGTTGGACAGAAACTGGTAGGGTCTCAGACTGCTGCTGCCCTGCTTGGGGGGGGGGGGGAGCGGGACTAGTCCTGAGAGCTGTGGTTTCTTCAACTGTAACTGCCCAGGGGGTCCGCGATTGGCTGTAAGACCGAAGGTCTGCTCATGGATTGGCTGGCCTAGCTCGGGGCTGCGCCCTGGGGGCAGAGTCCGCCCCCCTCCTCCCCCAGACTTCAAATAAGAAATCCCCAACAGGCAAGGAAGAACCAAATTGGTGTTGTTGATCCTCCTTTCTGGTCCACTGCAGGAGGCGCCGGAGCCAAGGCACCAGAACCAGCTGAGCGCACAGCCTAGGCAGCACCGAGCGCACCCGGGAGGCCCCAGGGTCGTCGGGCATTCGGTCTTTAGCCATGGGGTCGGCAGCGTTGGAAATTCTGGGTCTGGTGTTGTGCCTAGTAGGTTGGGTGGGATTGATCCTGGCGTGTGGGCTGCCCATGTGGCAGGTGACTGCCTTCCTGGACCACAACATCGTGACGGCGCAGACGACTTGGAAGGGGCTGTGGATGTCGTGCGTGGTGCAGAGCACGGGGCACATGCAGTGCAAGGTGTATGAGTCTGTGCTGGCGCTGAGTGCCGAGGTGCAGGCAGCTCGGGCGCTCACCGTGGGCTCTGTGCTGCTGGCGCTGGTGGCGCTCTTTGTTACCTTGACCGGCGCGCAGTGCACCACCTGCGTGGCCGCGGGCCCAGTGAAGGCACGCGTGGCGCTCACCGGCGGAGCGCTTTACGCGTTGTGCGGGCTGCTGGCACTTGTGCCGCTTTGCTGGTTCGCCAACATCGTGGTCCGCGAGTTCTACGATCCCGCGGTGCCGGTGTCTCAGAAGTACGAGCTGGGCGCGGCGCTGTACATCGGCTGGGCGGCCTCGGCTCTGCTCATGTGCGGCGGGGGTCTCGTGTGCTGTGGCGCCTGGGTCTGCACCGGCCGCCCGGAGTTCAGCTTCCCGGTTAAGTACTCGGCGCCGCGGCGGCCCACGGCCAACGGCGAATACGACAAGAAGAATTACGTCTAAGGGCGGGAGGCACGGCGGGGCCCTTCCCGCAGCCAAGCCCGTGTTCGGAAGGACGGACGCGGGAAGCCGCACGTGGATGGCAACCACAGCCGAGTTGAGTAGCGCAGACTCCGAGGCAAGTCAGGCTGGGTTCCGGCCAGACTTTTCCGCGCTCACAGAGGGTCCTCTGACCGTCACCAGCCAGCTCAGAACAGACTACGGGCACTTGTGAGGACCTGACCGACCTCCTTTTCTATGCGCAGTTGGCCGCGGCGTGGGTGGGGCTCTCGGATTTCATCGGTGAAGCAGGCACCAAACTGCAGCTGACAGTTCCTATTGAGACCCTGGCGAGTTCTGGATGCTGCCTTAATGTCCAGTAGCTCCTGCTGACCTGAGAGGGCAGCTGGAGAACCCCCGGCCCGCAGCGTGGGCTGCCAGAGGGATGTGTCAGAAAGGGCATTTTCCTTGTTAGTGGAGAGGAGCCACTGAACCAAAGGACTTAACCTGGACCTCGTCTCACTCCAGCACTCCCCCAACGTGGGGGCAGGGGGGCGGGAGGGGCGCTGTAGGTACCAGAGCCTTAGAGGGGCTTCCCTCCTCGCAGCTTGGGTGGGGTGGGGCGGGCAAGAATTTGCTTAGTAAATGGTTTGAACACTCCCAACCGTGTCCTGTCCTCTGTCCAGCTAGCCACTCTTTGTGCCCAGCACCGCTATTCACCCATCACCCTCTTCAAAGTCTCCCACAGGGATCTCCCCCAGTCCTCAACTGGGAGATGCAGTTACATTTGCAAGAAGCCAAGAATGTGGACAGAAAATCCCGGGGTAAGTGCCGGAGTCAGGCTGGGATATATGAGGGGAAGCTGACGCCAGGAGGGGGTCCAGCTGGAACTTCACCTCGTGAGAATGGATTTGGGTGGTGAGAAGTGCTGAGGGTAGGTAGCCAGGCTGCCAGCTTCTCCCGGAAGACCCTAAAGCATTTTTTCCCAGTGCTTGCTCAATACAGCCAGACCAGGCACTTCCCTCGTTTGTGGGAGCCAGGGTGAATCAAGGATGTCACCGCCGGTCCTCAGCTCGGACTGCAGGACTGCAGTGCGTAACTGTTAAATGGGAGGAGAGGCACTTGCTCAGAGAACCTGGGTCTGACTCCAGCCCTTTGTCCTAGCTCCTCTGGTTAGTGCGGCTTTACAAAGGGTCTAGGGTCTGTGTCCTCAGTGTTGGTAATGCAACCGTGTTGACAACCACAGGGAGCCCGGGGTGTGACCATCCTGGGGAAAGACCCCACGAAGGAAAGGCAAGTAAAGCCATCAGCCACACGGAGAGCTTATTGTTTCTTCCTATTCGGGCAATTTTACCTTTTGCTAAGACCAGAAACAGAAGTGAGTAGGATGGAGGGAGGGGCTACTAAGCCCTGAGAGCAGGAAGGCTTGGCACCTGCCCCCCACCCTGGCCTCCAGAGGTCTGTTCAGAAACGGTTGGGCCTCTCATTATCAAGTCTTTCAGGCCTGGCTGGGTTCCTCACAGCAAGGAAGGTGTTAATTCTAAGACTATGAGCTCAGAGAGACTCAGGGCAGATTCTGGAATTGGGAACAGAGAAGGCAAGGGTGGGACGCATGGGGAGGCTGACTTTCCGGTGGCCCAGTCCCAGCGAGACAGCGCAGTGGAAACCTCATGTGCAGAAGGGATCAGGGACAGCCGCAAGCGTGGGGACACGGGGTCCTAGAGCTGGCCCTGCGCCCTAGCTGGCACACTTGGCTGGTGCTGTACTCTGCCCAGTAGTGTGGGAAGGGAGCTGCTCCACCTCCAAACGGCCAGGGTGGCCACGAGAAAGTAGTTAGCTGGTGGCACTACCAGCGGTCAGGAGAGGAGCCAGTCCCCACCCATTGTACCTCCTCATTCCCCCAAGAGCATCCTGGGTATTTGGGACCCCCCTTCTAGGTCACTTTGTGGGCTTCTCACGACTGGCTTAAAATTACCACCAGTACTTGGAATAGAGGGCGATGGCTTAGGCTACCTAGTGAGATCCTGTCTCAAAAATCAAAACTGAAAAAAAGTTGAGAAACCTGCCTAAACAACTAACTCCCCCTTCTAGGTCTGTGTGCCGTGCTGAGCTCGGACGCCCAAGTGGGTATCTCTTCCTACCATGTCTGCTCCTCCAGTACTTACGTCCCTTCGTCACCTTCCAGCCTCTCCAGGGACAATGACAATGGCGCTAGCATTCTAAGAAGCGCCTGTTGCAGTTAAGGTGTCAGGGGCCAGAGGTTCCTCTATGTTGAAACGTTCTGTGGGTGGGTGTGAGCGATGCTGACAGAAGCCTGGAACAGTGTTTCCATTCAGGCACTACTCAGCAGTTAGGCCTCCTTGATTTGAGGCCTTCCCCCATACTTCCCCATTTGCAAAGCAGTGTGACCCTGCATGCCTGCAGGGACCATTGGAGCACCGTGAATGGTAGGGAAGCTGAAGGCCATGGTGAAGGCGACCACAGTGATACAGCTACAGTCTGGCAGGCAGAGCCCGGTCCTTCCTGGCATTACCGGGCAGCGGCCATCGCAGGTACTGGTTGTGAAGATACTTGGTACTGAAGCCAGCCCAGCCTCTGCCTACTGCCATCAGGGGGTCAGGAGAGCAGGTGGGGCAGACCTTGTCCCAGGGGCTGAGTAGAGAGTCTCTGTATCTGGCATGGAGAATGGCAGCATGCAGGAACAGTGTTACCCTGGGTCCCAGAAGGCTCAGAGTACTTCCAAATACTGACTAAGATCTTAGGAACAAATGGGATGGAACCACAAACAAACATTTTACTTTATTAAAAACCACATAGTCCCACACTTCAAATGTATCTTGCAATCTAATAGATGCCGGGTGATATAAATAAGGAAAAGGAGGTCACTTCTGGAGAAATCAAATCCTGGAAGAAAAAAAAAAAAGGTTTCACACAATTCATCCTTTCTCCCCATGCATCAAACAGACTGAACAAGGCCTTCCAGGATCTGCTTTGAGCAGCTTCCACAGTAGGGTGAAGGTGAGTGTGGAGCGGAAGGCCACCCAGATCACTGTCCTCCCACATCCCTACAGCGTCTCAACTGTCCCCATGAAAGTACCCAGACCTTCTCACCTGACAGTCCTTGCCTGGCCACTTATCCTGCCAGGGCAGCTTCATGGCCCCTCCCCTGCCTGGCCAGTTCCCACTGCTCCCCCCATCATGTAGCAGCACCCTCCCCTTCCCTGCCATTATGCCCCTGCTGGACGGCCACACACACGGCAGTGCTGTGGACACGGTGCAGGAGGGAGGTCCACCTCCGGTCAGCCCTGGCACACACCGCTCCCCACAAGTCAGTACACACTTGCCACCCATGGGCCAAGGATGCTGTTGGCTCTTTTTTGGAGTCAGACTGATTATTTACACAGCCAAGGTCACTGCTGATTACCTGCAAGTGTGACCAAGGATTCCCTGGTCCAGTCTGGACACCTTCCTTACTACGGCCCTGAATGTTCAGGCTACCCTGACTGGATGGAGTCCCCGAGACCCACTAGGTCATTCTGGTCCCCTACAGCTCAGAGTTTAACAAGGAGAGGGCAGTTCCTTGTGTCAGAGCCTTGGAAAGGCTGCCTGACCAAACAGGCTGAGGAGGTTACACAGGCACAGCAGAAAACCCCTACTTCCTTTTTCCCGTGTGGTCCCTCAAATAGAAGGATCATGTGGAAGAACAGTGAGGGCTTCAGTAGGGAGGTGTTCTGGGCCACACACATGCAGCAGGCCTCTCAGGATAGCTGTCCACAGCTGAAGGCTCATGCGGAGCCAACATTCTGTGACCTGAAGCTGGGTAGTTGTCAACAGCTTCCTTTCTTATCAAAGAGAAGAACAGCCCAGAGTGCCACTGCTGTGGGCTCCAGCCCAGGGCTTGTGGTTACGGCTGTAAGAAACTTTGGGTGGTCCCTGGGGCTAGCACTGGCTAATCTGTGTGTCACACATGATGCTCAGCCCCATGGTGTGGGCATTCGAGAAAATTTAGGGTTTTCTGGGGGTCAAAGGTGCTTAATGAAATTAAGCTTCCTCAGAAGTGCTCCATTGTGGCCCTGCTGGATTCTTAGGGCAGACATTCCTGGGAAAAATCTGCAAACCCTGCTCTGATCTGGAACACAAGTAAAGCCTCTGTGGAGGGAGACAAAGCAGGAGCGGGGCTGGGGGCCAAGGACTGCCCACCCTGGCTTACCCTAGGACAGCAGAGACACGAGAGCATCCAGGAACTTGCTCCGGTCCTCAGCTTTCAGCTCAATTACTGAAGTAATGAAAGGAAAACATCTTGTGAGTGGGAGGAGTGAGGAACGAGGCCGACAACCCTCCATCGCATTCCACACTGCGGCTCCCGCCAGGCTGGAACGTTCCGCAGTATTTGAGTTAAACTTTTCCCACTGTACTCCCACTTCAGATCTGCTGGCTGCACCGTGGAGAGACCAGAGCCTTGTCCTCAAGGACTCCCAGGGCATGCAAGGGTCAACAATGTCAGCCAGCGGACGGACACAAGGCATGTGACGCCTCTGACAGACTTGGACAGGGATTGGCACAAATGCCTGTCCCCACAGTGATGCAGGCCACACCGGCCCTGCTCTGTCCTGCGCTTCAGCTTCCGTGTCCGCTCCCGGAGAGGACACACAGGCTCGGGGTCACGTGGGACGCTCCATGTTGCTGGCCAACTCCCCAGGAGTGCAAAGCCTTTCCTACCAGGCAGGTACTGTCCACAGCCACTTCCACACCCCCTACCTCCGGCTCTCCAACCCTCAGGGAAGCGAGGCATCTTCCAGCCCAAACCCCCCCTGTGTAACAAAGGTGGGCTGTGGTCACAGGCAGGAAATGGGAGCTGTTGTTCAGGGGGACCAACTCCACAGGCCACAGCTACAGCTGCCTGGCATAAAGAAACCTACCCGAGACGGTGTAGGAACCTGAACACAGGCTAGTGTTATGGAATCAGAGCGTGGTAATTCCTGAGAGATTTAGATAAAATACTGAGGTAGCGAGGTAGTAGTGGCACACACCTTTAATCCCAGCACTTGGGAGGCAGAGGCAGATCTGTGAGTCTGAGGACAGCCTGGTCTACATAGTGAGTTCTAGGACAGCCAGAGCTACCTTAGAGAGACCTTGTCTCAAAACAAACAAACAAACCAACCAACCAAACAACAACAAACCCAAACCTAAAAACAGAGAGGTGTGACAGAGTGAGCTGTGTTCCCCAAGTTCCTTTGTTGAAACCCCAACTTCCAGTATCTCAGAATACGACACCTGGAGACAGGACCTTCAAAGAAGTAAATAAGGTACTCAGGGTGGGTCCTAACCCAGCATGAGTTGTGTTCTTCTGAGATCAGGCACAGACACACACAGAGGGGTTTAAGAAAGAAGACAGCCTCATAGCCAAGGACAGAGGCCATCAGCCACTCTGACACCCTGACTTCAGGTGTCAGGCGTGGCACTGGCAGGAATTTTGTCGCCCAGTGAAGCAGTGACAGTAGTGTGTTGCTATGCTGAATCTGCCTTACTCTAGAATGTGTCAACAAGGGGCTAGAGAGAGGGCTGGCTCGGCAGTCTCTGAGAGCATTTGCTGCACTTGCAGAGGGGCCGGGCATGCAGGCGAAACACCCATAAACATGGAGGAACGGGGGCTGGAGAGGTGGCTCAGCGGTTAACAGTGCCACTGACTGTTCTTCCAGAGGTCCCGGGCTCAATTCCCAGTACCACATGGCAGCTCACAACTGTCTCTAACTCCAAGGCTACCTGGAGAAACCAAAATAAAATAAAAAATTGTCAACAAGAAGATAGGGCTAGGTGTGGTGGTGCACCCCTTTAATCTCAGCACTTGACAGGCAGAGGTAGGAGGGTCTGTGTGAGTGTGAGGCAGCCTTGTCTACACAGTGGGACCCTGTCTTAAAAATAAGATAAGATAGGCACAGTGGTGCATGGCTTTAATTTCAGCACTCACGAGACAGAGGCAGGGGCAGGTGGATCTCTGAGTTCAAGGCTAGCCTTGTCTGTGTAGTAAGCTCCAGGACAGCCAGAGCCATGCAGAGAGAGCCTGCCTCACAAAACAAAACAAAAACAAACAACAAAAACCAAAACCAAGACAACAAATCAGCCGACCAAACCTATGAAAGACATGATGGCCATGCTTGCAATCTCGACACTTGGAAGGCCGAGGCAGGAAATTATGAGACCCAAGGCCCGCTTAGACTATGTAACAAGCTACGTGGTGAAGCTGTCACTGGGCTCTTCATTCTCTAAGTCACACAGTAAGTGTGATGAGTGTCAAACTGTCTCGCAGGTATAGAGCTACAGCCTCAGGCAGGGCTCTTCATGCTGCCAACCTTGGGTTGCCACAGACTGCTGTTTCCTTGTCCACATGACAGAGACTGGCCCGACCAGTGAGGCTTGGGCTCGAGGGTCACACAGCTTGCCCTTCAGGGGCGGGAAACGATTTGCAGGGGAGGGCAGTAAGGCTGCATCCAGGCTTGTAGCTTCCAAGCCAGTGTTCTGTGGATGTTGACAACAACTTTGCCTGGGGCTGTTTTGGTAGGACAAGGGGCTGGCTGCTGGTTGGGTACCTTCCTTACTAGCTTGCCTAATTCCAGGGCCAGTGCTGGCCTGGAAGGTGTGAGGGCAGAAGTGCGGCCATGGGCAGACTCACCTGAGAGGTCAAAGTGGTTGTGTAGAGTCCGAGAGCTGGTGCTTTCTGCTGCCTTCTCAAATGCTCGGCCAAAAAAGCTATAGGTACAGGACAGACATGTTGGGAGACAGACCACAGACAACAGACCCTTCCAACCATGTCCCTGTGATAGACACCAAAGGGCAGATGGCATCCAGGCTCGGCAGAGCTGGTGTGCCAATGTGCCGACACGCCCAGGCCTTCAGCCTCGCTGTCCCAGAGCAAGCAGCAGCTACTCACTTCTTTCTGTCTGAGCTGTCAGTCTCTGGGGGGATGCCCACCACGGTCACCGTGCCCTGCTCTATGCTCAGGGGTGCAGCCATCACCAGGGGCAGCAGCTTGCAGCGTCGATTCTTTGTCTACAGAGACAGGGGCACTCTCAGCACTGCAGAATGGAGCACACTGCTCAGCACCTAGAAACTGATAGCATCAGGCTAGCCCCTAAGGCTTACAGGGGTGTAGTCACCAGGGATGCTAGAATTCCAACTTGATATTTGGCTCTTAGCCTCCCAGTTATCTGCTGGCCCAACCCTCTTAGCACCCTAGCTAGGCCTTGCTTTCCTCCAGTCACCTCCTCCAGGTCTCTAGGAACACCTCCCAACGCCCCTGCCTGGTCTGTTTTCCTTCCTCAGTGCTTCCTGTTGGAAACTCATCCATGCATTCACGTCTCCTGGGTCTCTCCTGCACACAGTTAGGGTGGAGGTGGTGAGGTCTTCCCTCAGTAACACACCTACAGCTCTCACAACACCATCCAGGTGACCACCTAAGTGGTCACGCAGTAGTTTATGCAGGACTGAGATGTGACCCAAGATGCGAACCAGGTCAGCTGGCGGGTGTTTAGGAATTGTCTGATAACTGACTAGACCCCTTCTACAGATGAGGAAGCAGAGGCACAGAAGTCAGACACTCTTTCTCGAAACTGATACATGAGGCTGAGATGTGAAGGAAGCCAAGAGGACTGCAAAGCTCTTGTTTGGTCTGGTTCATCTTTTGACACTAATCATTCCTAGGAGGTAAAGGGATCGGTTCAGGACTTCTGTGGACACCCAAATCCAATAATGTCCTACTTCTTATGAAAACACTGTATAACCTATGCATGCCCTGCATACACTGTAATCATCTCTAGACCACTTAGACCTCCCAGCACAATGCCTCCACATCACTTCACTTACATGAAGTCAGTGCACAAACACAAGTTCTGTTGCTTACAAGTTTCTCAAAAAACTCTTTTCAGGGCTGGGGATCAGATACACTGACAGGGCCTCACATACACTAGGGAGGTTCCACCACTGAGCTATTTCCCCAATCTTCATAAGATAGTTGGATCAAAGACTGGTGAGTCTGAGGAGGTGGAGCCCACGGAGACAGCGTTTGGTATCTTCAGAACATCAACATCACTGTTTTACTGGCTGACTCGCAGAGTGAGTAATTCTCCTCATAACCCTCATCCTGACACAGAGAGAGCCTGACAGCTGAAGTCACCAGGAGCTGCCCTTTGTGCTTCCCTACCTAGAAACCTTCTATTAGCTGGCTTAGGACCTGTCTAAAACCAACTGGGTTAGGATGTGTTCTAATTAAGGTACTGCGCCACAAATCTACAGAGTAACATTATTCAAACCTTTGTTAGGAAGCAAGTCTATATGACTAACTCCATCTTTTCCTGCTCTGCCAAGGATGAATATAAATTCCAGTCACATGGCTTTCTGGGTGTCCCTCCCTATTAGCTGAATGACATGAATAGTGAGTGAGAATATCAGAGCTTGTAGGAAACTGGAAGGTTCCTAGAGGTTAGCTGAGTTAAAATATGGTTAAAATAAAGAGTATGTCCAGTCTCTGCGACTGGTGAACAGCAGGTAAGCCCGGGCCATCATCTAACACTACTTGGCACATATATCTGCCCTCTTGGACCCACGCCATTGCCACCTCCTCCCCACTCCATCCAACTCCTCACCGAATACACAAAGGACTTGAGCAGATGTCTGCTGAGCAGACTCAAGGATGCTGGCTTGGAGAACAGTGCAACATCTGGAGTGCCCTGGAAGGGAAGAGACGGTCAGAGGAATTCACGAGGGTGGGGTGAGGCCTGGCACTGCGTGGGTAGGGAAGCCTAACCTCCATGAGGGAGCAGTAGAGAAAAGGGCCCTGGGAGGTGACGAGGTTGGTGCAGAGGCAGCTGGCGATGGTCTGCTGGGTGGCTTGGAGGTGCTTCTTGGCAAGCTCCAGACCGAGGTACAGCTTGTCCAGGTTACTCCTGAAACAGGGCAGATAGTGGCCTTACACGCTGCTTGTTGAGTGCTACTGCTGAAATGCCAAGTCATGAATAAAGAGCCTGATTCCTGGTTCAGGACGGGGTTGGGGATAAGAATTTATCTCCTCAGCCAGGTGCTGGTTGCACAGGCCTTTAATCCCAGTACTCAGAGGGAGAGGCAGGAGAATCTCTGAGTTCGAGACCAGCCTGGTCTACATACAGAGTTGAGTTCCAGGACAGCCAAAGCTATACAGAGAAACCCTGTCTTGAAAATAAAAATTATCTTCTCTCCCTCTTGAGTTCCCCTTCACATGAGAGGTAGGAACAACAAGATTATAAACAGTGATGGAGTAAGAGATTCGAGACTCGGGATCAAAAGAAGGAAGACTAATGGGCGTGCTGGTACACACTTGTAACTCCAGCATTCAGGAAAACTGTGACTCTGAGGCCAGCCTGGGCGACGAAGCAGCGTGGGAATGTAGAGATCCCATAAGGAGGACTCAGGAAGGTATCTGGAGGGCTCTCCTAGAGTAGGCTTAGTCACGCCAAGAGGAAGCATCAAGATTCCCCACACCCACCAACAGGTGGACTCTTCTTCTTTCCCCAAAGAGAATATTCCCTTCTGAAGATTTTAAATGAGCCCTTTGGGAAAGCAGGGCTGGCCTTCAAGCAAAGCCTCTATGCCCAACAAGTTGTGCCCGAACACCCAGGGCTCAGCCAAGATTCCACAGCTTCCTTCCTAAATACAAAACATACCAGACATCTGAGAAACACTTAGAAAGTGCTCCCGAAGGAAGCAGACGTTAGAGAACAGATGACAGGTAAAATGACTCCATTGTCCCGAGAGGTCCGGGTGACCATAACACTTCTTAACAAGAACAGGACACCATGAAAAAAGGTCAGAGACCAGACAGTGTTGGCAGAAGCGAACACTTTGGAAAGAAATAAAATATTTAGTCAAATGCCAGAGGACAAAGCTAGGAAAAGCTACCTCAAAATCCACAGTGAAACAAATCATGGGAACACAAAGCAAAAGCATAAAGCAGGACGTCCCGGGAAGACAGAAACACGACTAAGAAGCTCTGATGCTGGAGGGTAAAGAACAGTCAGAAGCAGCTGCGGAACTGCAGCGACTTGTCTGCAGACGGGGTACAGTGGGGGAGACAAGCTAGAACAGATCCTGCAAGCATCTGTTAGTGGGGCAGAGTTGGGCGTTGTAACGAAACAGCAATCAAAACGGGTGTTGATGACCCATACAGCAGCCTCGGCACTTGGGAGGCTGAGGCAGGAGGATTGTAAACTTGAGAGCAGCCAGAGATACATACAGAAAAATGAAACACAGGAAACTACCTTCAATGAAACCCAAGCTCATTTGAGGGTGGAAAGGGCGCTGTGACAGAGGGGATGCAGGGTGCCTACGACACCCACTCCTTCTCTGAGGTGGTCTGAGAACTGTGCTGTAGGAACACACTAGTGTGGTGACACAGGCAGCCGGCCTCGCAGCTGCAGGTCCGAGCCAGGGCAGGATGACGGTGCAGGTTCTCCTGGAAAGAGGGACTGTGAGATGACTCACGGGGCTCAGTTGGAAGTGCTTACCACTTGAACTGCGTCCCCAGCACCCTTGTGGAAAGGCAACTACAGTGGGCACGTGCCTATGACTCTAGCACTGAGGAGGCAGAGGCAATGGGTCCCTGGGGCTTGTGTGGCCAGCTGGCTGAACTGGTGAGCTCCAGGTTCAGTCTGTCTCAAAATCCAGGGTGGAGAAGTGTGTGTGTGTGTGTGTGTGTGTGTGTGTGTGTGTGTGTGTGTGTGTGTCACAGACAGGAAATGGACCTGAAGAAAGGAAGCAATTAAATCTTCAAACGGGAGCTGGAGAATTGGCTCATTGGTTATGAGTACTGTCTGCTCTTGCAGAGAACCTGAGTTTGACTCCTAGAATCTACATGGTGGCTCACAGCTGTGCATAAGTCAGTTCTAGGGAATCTTACACTCTCTTCTGACCTTCAAAGGCACCAGGCATGCATGTAGTGCTCATACAGATACGCAGCAAAGCATTCATACATGATAAAATAAAAATTTTAAAAACTAGAGAAAATATACCAAACCAAACAACGAAATAGAGCAACTCAAAGCAGACATTAAGGTTCTAACCTTTCAAGAAAACAAAAGAAGAAGGGACCCCAAGATATAAGAAAAGTGACATCAATCTGTCACACAGCCACCATCACTGTGGGTGCTTGGAGTCAAGCAATGAAAACTCCAGGCAACTGGATGTTAGGTACCAAAACATTTATGAGAGGAGTTCTGCCAATGGCACATGTGAGGGGAGTTTTTGTCCCATTCAACAGCACATAAGAGAACCTGATAAAGACCGAGAGCTGGAGCAGTGTAGCTCCAAGAGTCTACCCAGAGCTCTGTCTACATCGTCCTTACAGAGAAGAACCTGCTCACAGTGGGACAAGAGAGCAGGAGAGGTCAGTAAGAAAATAAGAGTGGGGCTGAGAGTGTGCTCAGGAAGCACACGCTTAGCGTGTGCAAGCCCCTAGGTGTAACCCCAGTATGAAAAACAAGAGGAAAGGCACAGACAGACAGACAGCACACCCTGGGATCTCACTGTGGTCTTGGAGGACTGACCTGCACAATCAAGCAAGGAAACTCATCATGAGAAATCCAGACAACAAAGGAAGCACAGCCAGTGCCGTTTGCAGACCACGTGATCCTTCCCATCCAAAGCTTAAGAGAAGCCACAAAAAATGTCAGACCAATGAGTTCAACAAGGCTGCAGGCACAGGCGTTGTAGAATATTAGGGTGTGTTACTTTTGTTTATGCTGCATTTGTTTAACTCTGTGAAGCTGCTACTTCGCCTGTCTAAAACACCTGATGGTCTAATAAAGAAATGAACAGCCAATAGCGAGGCAGGAGAGAGAAATAGGCGGGGCTGGCAGGCAGGGAGGATAATAGAGGAGAAATCTGGGGTGAAAGAAGAAGTAGCCAGAGAAGGAGGAGGACTCCAGGGGCCAGCCACCCAGCTACACAGCAAGCCATGGAATAAGATTACAGAAGTAAGAAAAAGGGAAAAGCCCAGAGACAAAAAGTAGATGGGATAATTTAAGTTAAGGAAAGCTAGCAAGAAACAAGCCAAGCTGAGGGCAGGCATTTATAATTAACAATAAGCCTCCATGTGTATTTATTTAGGAGCTGGGTGGCGGACTCCCTAAGAGATAAAACAACAGGGTACATGATAAAAACACAAAAACTGCTTGTATCTCTATGTAGCAGCAATGAGAAAATAAAAAATGAGATTGAGAAAAATCCAAATATTTATGTCGGAATTAACAAAGAAGGGGCTGGTGAGATGACTCAGGAGGCAAAGGTGCTTGCTGCACCAACCTGGCAACCTGAACTTGATCCCCAGAACCGGAGGATGAGAACAGACCCCACAAAGTTGTCTTCTAATCTCCACACACGTCTCCACCCCATCATGCATGTGTGTGCTTGCATACACACAATGATATTTTATAAATTTTTAACAAAGTCAGTGTCAAGTTTATACTCTGTTACTCAGGCAACATTCAGCCACGTGCATGCCTGTAACCCAAGTGCTTGGGAGGCAGAGTCAGATGGACTAGAAATTCAAGGTCATCCTTGGACACACATCATCAAGTTCAAGGCCTGGGATTCATATGCTCCACAAACTGACTGATCTACAGATTGAAAGCAGGAATGGAAAATAGCAATGGAAAAATTCTTCAGGGACTGTTGAGCTGCTAATCCCAAGATTAAGTTCAAGTTACCTAGAACAGCAAAAATAATCCTTAAAAAAAAAAAATTGGAAGAGTCATGTTTTCTAGTTTCAAACTTACTACAAAGCTACAGTAATCAAAACAATGTGGTGCTGCATAAGGTTAAGATTTAGATGGATGTAGGAGAACCAACAGTCTAAAATACGTCTTAATGCTTATGGCCAACTGATTCTTACTTAACACAAGTGTTAAAATAATTCAATGGCAGAAAAAAAAGTTTGGTTTTTTTTTTGTTTGTTTTTAAAAAAACAAATAGCCCCAGGAAAAGTAGGTATCCACATTAAGAAAATACAATAAAATAAAGTTGAAAGTCAGTGAGATGGCTTAGTGAGAAAAGCCTGATGACCTGAGTTCAATCCTGGAACCCATATGATAGAAGGAAAGAACCAAATCCTGCAAGCTGCCCTCTGACCTCAGGCACACATACTGTGGCACCCATGTGCACACACAATAAATAAATGTAGGAATAAAGTTTTAAAAAGAATAAGTTGCTGTATGTGTTCTTGTACTAACTACAAAAACTAAACTCTGAAGAGTTATACACCCAGTGTAAGAGCTAAAACTATAATGTACTTAGCAGAAAAACTGTATAAAATTGTGATTTGGATTCAGCAACGGTCTCTTAAGAATGACCCAAAGCACAAGAAGGGAAATGAGATGCTTTGGATCCATTAAAATCAGCACCTAACTTACAAACAGGAGATCTGAAGAGACAGCGCTTCAAACAAGCTGCACAAATGGCCCATCAGCACAGGGAAGAATGCTCTACATCATTACCTCAGTGAGATACAAACCAAAAGCACAAACTACCACTTCATACTTCAAACACGACTACAAATGTTGGTAAAGACAGGGAAAAACAGCATCCCTCATACACTGCTGGTGGGAACTTGAGCAGCTGCTATGGAAGATAGCCTGGCAGTTCAAACTTCTACATGATTATGGAAGATCGTCAGAAGGTAGGAAAACCCATGTCCATTTGTTAGTGAAATGGTACATGAAATGTGGTATATTCATCCAGTGGAATACGATTTACAATGAAGAAAAGTGCTTATCGCTAAAGCATAATAACTACACGAAGTGAAAGAAGCCAGATGCAAAACCCACACACTGCACATAGTTCCTACAATCTGCAGAGCAGTTGTTCAGGGATAGGAGGGCTGGGCGGTGATGGCTAAGGGGTGCAGAGCTTCTTCTGGGGCAAGAAGAAGCTTGAAAACTGCACAGTGCTGTACATGCTTTTCTTTGGGGTGTGCTGTATATGTGTTTTGCTTTTTTAGGATAAGATATCACGATATTGCCCAAACTGGCTATTTTTCAACTTTTGAGGCTCCTGCCTCCACCTTCTGAGTACCGGGATTATAGGTAGACACCATTACTAATGGTTGCATCATATATTTTAAATGAGAAAATGTCTGACAGCACAAAGACTATATCTTAATAAAATTATTTATTTAGAGAAGGGGGGTAGGGGAGAAGAACTGGGGAAACCCAGAAGGCAAGGTCCTACATTAAACAGCAGTTCTATTAAATTAGAAAAGCAACCTGAACAAGCCTTTTTGTAAAAACCTATAGAATTAAATTCAAATATGTATATGACTAGAGTATTATGGTCCAGACCCCATGAAGTCATTATTAAAAACAGACAAACAGTGGGCGGTGGTGGCGCACGCCTTTAATCCCAGCACTTGGGAGGCAGAGCCAGGCGGATCTCTGTGAGTTCGAGGCCAGCCTGGGCTACCAAGTCAGTTCCAGGAAAGGCCCAAAGCTACACAGAGAAACCCTGTCTTGAAAAACCAAAAATAAGTAAATAAATAAATAAATAAATAAATAAATAAATAAAAAATAAAAACAGACAAACATCAAGCTGAACAGGGCAGTACACTTTTAATCCCAGAACTTGGGAGGCTGAAACAAGTGAGTATCTGAGACTTTGAGGCCAGTCTGGCCTACATAGCTAGTTCCAGGCCAACCTGGGCTACACAGTGAGATTCTCAAAACAAACAGGCAAGCAAGCAAACAAAAATAAATAACAAAATGAGAAGCAGAGTGACATCACCTTTGACATACTAGTGTTCCAGAAAGTCACAACTCCAATACTGGAATGTCCTACTTCATGATACATTAAAATACAAAAGGAGAATTAGAAATAAAAGAATTGAAAAATGAAGAATTAGAAGAAAAACAAGAATGAATAACAATGTCTTAGCAGAGTCAGAAGGCAGAAGAAAAAGAAGACAATCACAAAGGGAATGGAAAGGACTCAAGGATGCTGGGGATGGTGTGCACATCACCAATCCCAGCACTTGGGAGGCTAGGGCAAAAGGATCATGAATTTGAGGGCAGCCTGGGCTAAGCATTAAGTGTGAGGCCAGCCTGAGCTACAGAGGCCCCACTTATTTCAAGAAGAAGGGAACACTGGGGCAGGGCCAGCAGCTTAGCAACAGCTAACTCTCTGTAGCTGCTATGGAACAGCCGTTCTCACGCCCAGGGCGTCCTTGTGATTGGTCTCCCTGTGCAGTGTGAAACTGAGGCCACGCAGGGGTGGCTGCCTGGATCACACCCGGTACCTGGAGAGGCTATCGAGAGCCTGGATGAAGTGGTCTGTCCCTGAGCCATCCTTCTCGGGACTCTCCATCAGAGACATGGTGGCAAAGACCACATCGCTGGCCAGGAATTTATGCTTGAACCCAAAATGAATGCTGAAAGTCTGCACACGCATGTCCTTCATCCTGTCAAGGGAGGAAGCAATGTGGCTGTCACTCTCGACTTGTGAGAAAGCTCTTATGCCCAGACTAGACTAACAGACACCCTAAAGTTCCTCACAGGTCCCCAAGAACGCTGTGTGACCAGTGCTTGGAGGATGAGGCAGACTAAAGCACCCAGGCCCTGCAGCCCTGACCTCAGTTGCTTGGCTGGCCTAGGGATGAGCAGTGCATACCCATCAGGCCTGAGGTATGGGCAGGATTCTCGTCTATGCCCTAATATTAGCTGGCTAGGCAGGAGCACCCGGGGAACAGGGCCTCAGTGGTGCCTGAAGACCTGGTAGGACACACCATATCTGTACCTGGTCCTGGTGCCTTATTTCTGATTCCAGTATGTCTGTCTACATCACAGTACCAGTATTTAAAGACACTAAACATGCCAGGTGTGGTGGTGCACACTAATCTTAGCACTCAAGAGGCAGAGACAGGTAGATCTCTGTGAGTTCAAGTTCAGCCTAGTCTACAAATGAGTTCTAAGTTCTAAGATATATAGGACTATGTGGAAAGAAAAAGAAAGAAAGAAAGGAAGGAAGGGAGGGAGGGAGGGAGGGAGGGAGGAAGGAAAAAAAGAGAAAAAGGAAGGAAGGAAGAAAGAAAAAAAGAAAAGCTTTAAACATTATGGGCAGTTTGAGAAAGTGCATTTTAGTTTATTTTTTTTAAATCATTTTTGTAAACTTACTATGTGAATGTGTGTCTATGTGTACATATGCCCAAAGAGCCAGAAGAGGATAGAGGATCCCCTGCAGCTGGAGTTACAGTTGTGAGCTGCCATGTAGGTGCTGTGCTAGGAATTGATCCTGGGTCCTCTGAAGAGCAGCCAGTGCTCTAACCACTGAGCCACCTCTCCAGCTCCACAGTATGCATTCTTTTCAGAGCAGGAGGGTGCATTTTAATCCAAGGAGAACTCAGGATTTCAGAAACAGTCAAATTTGAGTCAGTTATAATAGTTTGTACATCCTTGGGGTTAGTTCTTACTTTGGCATCAGTATGGTTAAAGCAGAAGCTCTGTCTTTAGGGGGAGTAATCCAGATAAGCACTTACCCAAATTTATTTGCAGATTCTTCAATCATTTCCCGCAAATTCTCCTTCAAGGAGACGTCCATGGACTGAAACTTCTGTTTCACTTGCTTCAGGGGAAGCCTGGAGGGAGCAAGCTGCGTGAGTGAGACCTCAGATACCGACAGCAGGGAGACAGGCTTGCCCTGGGGCCACTGTGCGTGCCCACGGGGATGTCCTGACAAGTGCATTCAGACCCTAGCTAGGACATGGAGGAGGAACTGTACTTTATGTCCAAGTAAGTCACAACAGGGTGGGGACAGGGTAGGAGGCCACAGGCCAGGGCAGTCACTCACCCCATGTCTGCAAGGAATTCCTGGAGTCGCTTCTGCCCGTGTACGGACCAGAGCTTGAACCTGGCTGCAGTGTAGCTGGTGTTGTACAGGCTTTCATGGAGGGACCAGTGCTGATACAGTGCCAGGCGGAGGCTGGGTCCAAGGTCAAGGAGCACATGCAGTGTCCATTGCCCACTACCTGCACGGAGCTATCAGTGGCTTCTCCTTGGGTTGGTATGGACCCACCCAGAATTCTTAATGGACAGCCGGGTTGGTGGGACCCTTTTGTTGGGGCCTATCTGCATATCTATGTTGGGGGCAGCTTGGGGGCAGCAGACCCCAGAGCTCTCTGACTCACGCAGGGAGCATCTGAAATTGAACCGTTTTTTTTCTCTGTGACAGACCAAGATGCAGAGCTCGACAGTCAGCCACTATGGTCAGAGCCCCATATACCATGAGAAGCAGAGTAAGCAGCTCAGGTTACTATTTAGTCTGTTGCCCCTGGTCTGCCTGGCCCAGCCTAACCCTTTTTTTTGTTTGTTTGTTTTTTGTTTTTCGAGACAGGTTTCTCTGTATAGTTTTGGTGCCTGTCCTGGGTCTCGCTCTGTAGACCAGGCTGGCCTTGAACTCACAGAGATCCACCTGGCTCTGCCTCCTGACTGCTGGGATTAAAGGCGTGCACCACCACTGCCTGCCCTTACCCTCCCTAATCTTAAAGCCCTTCTTCCATCGTTCTTGAACTTGCCCTTCACCACTTACAGTCGAGTACACCTGGTCCCCACCAGAGGCCTCTCCTCTACAGGGATCAGGTTAACCGCAGTCTTGCTGGCGCCTTACCACTGCTCCACTGGCTACCTGGTGTTTCTTGTCCTCGTCAGTGCCCCTCCTTCCCAACTCCTGGGGCCCAGGGACTGCTGTCCACTTTGCGTCAGCTCTCAGCATGACCTCCCACATGACCCAGACACGGTCTGTGACCAGCAAATACACCACGAACACACTGCCCGTAGGAGGACAGAGGCAGCTCCATCACCACAGCGATGGAGCAGAGAGCACCTGCCTAAACCCCAAGGCACTAAGCTGCAAAGATACTCATACTCAAAAGAGATCCGGGTGCAGTCTACAGAGAGCATGTTCTCTTCCGCCTCATTTCGGTGGTTATGCCGGGACACGTGACGCTGCAGGATGCCAACATCAGTCACATACTTCATTCTAGAAGAAAGCATGGCAGGCTGGACCAGCTCCTTCCCCAACTCAGGGAACTCTCCACCAAGCATATTTGTTCCTGAATGAGAACTGAGGAAGCTTGTTTAGGTATGAACTAGCCAGCCAGGGATTGACAACAGAGAGCAGGGCAGGGTGGCCTCTGGCCAGGCTACATCCCATCTTTAGGTATTGAGACACCTTTTGTGAGCAGCATGGAGGGGGCTGGCTAGGTGTCCAGCCATACAATCAATTAGACCCCATAACAATCATCCACACAGAAACTAGACTAGCACATATATCGCCAGCAAATGCAGACGGGGTAGGCAGACCCCACTGGGATGGGCCACGCTGGTGACCAGAGGGTCTCATCTGAGGCTAAGAGCAGAAGTTCCTAATGCTGCATACACCACCGTTTCTAGATTCTATTTCACTCACATGCTTGCCCTACGCCATCCTTTTTTAAACAAGGTCAGAAGGCATCAGAACCCCTGGAGCTGGAGTTATAGGAGGCTGTAAGCCTCTCAACGTGGGTGCTGCACTGAGCACTGAACTCAAGTCCTCTATAAGAGCAGCAAGTGAACCATCTTTCCAACATCCCCACACCATCCTTAACAGGGAAGGACTGAGGCATCGCAAGGCCGAAGCCGGCTCAAAGGGGAACCCAAGCAACAGAACGCTGATAAAGCTTGGATTCTTTCAACTTCCTGGGCCACCCAGAAGGCCCAGTACACAGCGGGGATTTTGCAAACTGCACAAGGAAGGAGGTGAACAGTTAAAGGCAATGCTCAGGGACACTCGTGGGGGTCTCCTGAAGAGGTTAGAACCCCAGGCCCGACCTGCTAATTCTCTTACGTGTCCCGCTTGATATCTAGAGGCTGAATTGCTTAAGGGAGCGAGTGAGACACTACTTTCCCCAGTTCAGAGTCCACCAGAAGGGAAGCCTGCCACACCCACAGAGGACCAGACTCCACTTTATACCAGCCCTCCTTAGAGTCCCCTGCTTCCCTTTTGAGATCAAAGCCGTACTCCCTGGCAGGACCCCAGACCTTCACGTTCACTTCCTACATGCATCCAATGTCTCCCCCTACCTCTAACATGCATGGGCTACATTTAGTGCCTGCCTCTAGGCCACAGAATGAAGAAGTCAAACCAAGCCCTTCTTCCCACCGTTGGCTCCACCCAGTGGACTTCTCAGGGTGATAAAGAGGCCAAGCTAGGCCACAAGCAAAGTCAGAGATCTGGTACTGAGCCCAAGAGCCCAGGCAAGGAGAGGAGCCCCCCCTTCTCCATAGGGTTTTTAATGACACTGCCTCCTATCTCCTTGTGGCAAACTCAGGGACTGCCACATGCACACAGCACAGAGCTGTCCCCCAAACTGAGGGCATCTCCCTTACTGAGTGATCTTGTCATGCACCCACTGGTCCGTCAGTCCAACAATGGCCCACCTGAAAGGAAAGCAGAAGATGATGGAGTCAGCTACAAGTTGCCTGGACGTGGTAGGCTGTGTCTCATGGAGCCAGCTGACATGATGGACAGCCCAGGCTCCACATTCCCAGGACTGTAATGCTAGCATGGCCTCCCAACTCACTGTGTCCGTCCCAGGATTTGTAAATAATCATCTTAGGGCTTCTTTTCTACTGTGATTTTGAAATATTGACATTTTCAAACTGCACCTCTCATCTTAAAAAATGGGACACCTAAGGCAAGGTTTTTGTTAAGATAGTAGAAGAAACACAAGGTTGGGCTTCCAGTTCTAGGGCCAAGCTTGGGTAGACATAAACTATACATGGGTCAGACAGATGCCACCAGTGTAAACCAGTGACCTAAAGGACCCATCACAAGTCAGACAGGAAGGCATTAGGCCACCCACCCAGTAGAAGAAGTACTCTTAAGACAGGTACACTGACACACCCAGGCCCAGCCCTCCCTAGTTCCTGTCAAAACTGGTTGCTGCTGGCTCTAGTAGGAAACTAATTTGGCTTGAATACAAAGCAATGTAGCCAGCAGGTACCCATCACTGGTACAGGAGTCCTGCCTCACCTGACTGTAGGATCTTTCATGATAGACTCCAAGTCAGTACTCAGCACACAAGCTGGCTGGGGCAGCTGGTGGGCAAGTGGCCAAGTAATGGCACACAGTGCAAGAATGAGACTGAGAATGGAGTAGGCCAACAGACTAGCACCCTCACACCTGGAGGATGGCGGAACACCCTTGGGCTAGAGGTGACCCTGCAAAGTCCTAACCTGTCCTGACTCTATGCAGACAAAGGTAACCATCACTGTGGTGATGGGAGCTGAGGAGCCTTGGTAGACAGTGCAAAGAAAACAAGTACCACAAACAAGGGGCCGAGGAAGTGGAGCCAGGTCAGACTGCTTCTCACTTATAAAGACCAGATTTTATTTCTAGATCAACCAAGTCGGCAGTGACTGGCAGGCCCACTGGTCTGTGTGTTCAAGGCCCTGGTGGCAGTCTGCACAGAGAAATTATAGGCAGGGACAATTCTGCATTGGATTGTACCAGTGCCAGGGCTGCAAGGATGCCTAGTAAGGGCTATCTCACTCAAACCTCAAATTAGTGTACTTACAGGGCATAAGGCTAAGCATTAGGGTGGAGACAGGAGCTGCACTGGAGCCCCACTGACCTCTATAAGGTCGTATGAGTCCCCTAGCCTCACATTTAACCCCTGGAAGACTGGGGTTAGAAATCATCCTGGGAGGGGCCGTGCCTAACATTCCTGGGGGAAGCAAGGGGCCGTCATGTGACACTGATGTTGGCTGGTGGCAGGCCTCCCAATATGGATGCTGCAGGGTGTACAGGAATGTGTGTGTGCTACATACCACAGCATGTCATTCAGGTCCTTGGACATCATCCATGCCAGGTCAAACATCACCATGGCTGACTGCAAGAAAGCAGAAAAGCCTGAAGCCAAAAGCCACTGAGTTCACAGAAGGGGCAATACAGTGGGGACAGCTCTAAGATAAGGAGCCCAGCCAAGGCCCACAAATCAGGGTATTCAGGCCTCTTTCCAGCACGTAAGAAAAATGTCCCATCAGAGTGAAGGAAGGATGACAGAGTAATTCCACCGACTCAAACATTAGTCTCTGCTATCTAAAGTCACTTATATCTGTGTTTTTAATCATGTAGCAAATGAAGACTGGAAGAAAGTGCCACCCAGAGGGAAGCCCAGGCATAGCACCGTGCAGAGACCTCTGTACATCTTACAGGTGATGCTCAAGGTGACACTGAGAACCTATGTCAGGAGGCCCTGCTGTCTGACTGTCTACTATGCATTTGCATTCTTCCTGCTTGGAGGCAGCCTCAGATTCATCCCCAGGTCGCCGGGATATTAAAGTGGGAGGGGCTTCTGGACTCCCCCTGAAGGTCTTTCAGGGACAGAAGAGGTAACAACCTGAGTGGTGAGACTGTGAAGGTAACGGATGCCTGACCAGCACACTTAAGGTGAGATGGTGGCTTCCTCCAGGGAGCAAATTTTAAGGGAATTGTCCATGTATCTGGAAAAAGTCAGGTATCATTTCTGAGAACATCAATCCCCTCCCTATGTACGGCAAGAGCTGAGCAGAAAGCCAGAGGAGGCAAAACTTGACTACAAATGAAACATGGGAAATACAGTATCAAGAGTCCAAGGTCTAAGAGCCAATCTGAAGACTGAATACAGTGTTTTCAGTGAAAACAATTTTGATTTGTACTGAGCATATATCACTTTTGCACTATCATAAAGTAAACAAAAAAAATCCCAAATCAAATTAACATATGTTAAGAACCATGTATCTTCTGGAGCTAGTGAAGGCCCAAAACTCTGGCCAACACTAACAGCCTAGCAACAGGCTTTCTACACTAAATTCTATTTAAAAATCAGATGTGCCACTGTAATTCTACACTTTAATCTTGCACAGAGATTAATACAGATGTATTTACTTATTTATTTTGAGATAAGAGTCTCATATAGCTCTGGATGGCAGTCAGGCCTTGAACTCAGAGATCTGCCTGCTTCCGCCTCCCAAGTGCTGGGATTAAAGGTGTGCCACTGTGCTAGCTAGTTTGATGTTAGCGTTGCATAAACTGAAGTCCTGAAAGGAGGGAAGCCTCAGTTGAGAAAATGCATCCATAAGGTCCACAAGCCTGTAGGGCACTTTCTTAATTCAGGATGATAGGGGAGAGCCCAGACCATTGTGGGTGGGGCCATCCCTGGTCTGAGTTGAGCAAATCATGAGGAACAAGCCAGTGAGCAGCACTCCTCCATGACCTCTGCAACAGCTCCAGCTTCCAAGTTCCTCCCTGTTCTGAGATCTTGCCCTGACTTCCTTCAGTGATGAAGTGAGGGAATGTAATGAAACAAACCCTTTCCTCCCCAAGTTTCTTTGGTCACGGGGTTTCATCTTAGCAATAGTAACCCTAACTAAAACAGCCACCATGCCCAATTTAATATGTATTCTTAATGATTTGATTTATTTTATGTGTGAGAGTTTTGTCTGTGCACATGTGTGCCTGGTACCCACAGAGGAAGGGGCAGATACTTTGGACCTGGACTCATGGACAGCTGTGAGCTGCCATGAAAGTGCTGGGGACCAAACCTGGGTCCTCTCTAAGAGTATTTATTTGCTTTCTTAACTGTTGAGCCATCTCCCTAGCTCCGTTACTTTGTATTTCTGATGATGAACAAGAATAGCTGCCAGCATACCCGGCATGAGGGCAGACTACCCTAACAGCTGCCTCTGGAAGGAGTGGAGAGGCCCTCAACTTATAATGGGCACACCCAACCTGGCGAAAACAAGACAAAATAAGCAGCATTCAATAGCTTGCCCAGCATTTTAGCTGAGTTGTGCCACCCTGCAGAGCATGTTTGGTTGCCCTGGACCCTTGGCTGTGAGGCACAATCAGAGAGTAGCCTAGAAAAGTTCAAAATTCAGAATGTGAAGCATGGAGAACACTCTCTCTCTCTCTCTCCGAGACAGGGTTTCTCTGTGCAGCCGTGGCTATCCAGGAACTCGCTTTGTAGACCAGGCTGGCCTCAAACTCAGAGATCCACCTGCCTCTGCCTCCCAAGTGCTGGGATTAAAGATGTGCACCACCATGTCTGGCTTTACTTTATGAAATAAAGTTTTGCTTGATTCTAGAATTAAAAATAATTAGCAAGTGTTGAGGGGTGGCTCATTGGCGAACACTTTCCTAGCACGTTTGAGTGCTAGGTTTGGCCCCTAGCACTACAAAATCTGAAGAGAAAAAGAGGCATATTATTATTATTATTTACAAAGGGGAAAGATGTATTTTGGATTGCAGTTTCAGTCACCACAGTGGGAAGGGCATGGCAAAGCAGAACAGCTTATGTCAAGGCTTCCAGGAAGCAGAAAGAGTCTCATTATGGTCTTTAATCTTGGTAGGTATAGTAGTGTATAACTATACTCCCAGCTACTCAGGTGGAGGCAGGAGGATCATTTGAAGCCAGGAGCTCAGGGCTAACCAGGGCTGTATAAGAGGGCCTTGTCTCAAAAAATTTGATTTTTACTGATTATATATCACTTTTGTACCACCATAAAGTAAAAAATAAATAAAAAAATGATAAGGCAAACCACCAAATTGCACTGGGAAGCATCCATTCTAGTCAGCTTCCAGAGGAACAGGAGCGGACAGCTCAGAGAGGCAGTACCACCACCCAAGGGCAAATGCTGGGGAGATGCAACTCTGACGCAAGCCAGGTTTTTCTGGCTGTCAAACCTTTGCTCTCTTACAGCCTAGGACACTGACCCCTAGAGTCAGAACTTAATAGTGCATCAGATCTATTCATACTTACCGATGTCCCATAATATTCATACTGCTCGTAATCAAAGAGGATGTCTCTCCTGTAACAACACAAAATGGTGTCTTTGACTGGAAGCAGCAGGACATGAAAGCAAATTTTTTAAAAGGCTAAAACTTTAGTTAAAAAAAAAGCAAATTAAATGCTACCATTTGTTTTCACTTACAGATTCTTTAGCAGAATGTATACATATGTTTTAGGCAGGTATGGTCTTAGAATCTTGTTCCTGAAAAATTATCTCAAAGCAATTCAAAAAACAAGAAAGACACAATACTGTGTGAATGAAAAAGAAAAAAAAAAAA